CTGTAAAACAGGCCCTGACGAGTGTAGCGAGAAGGATCAGTCCCTCAGGTGGTGTTGAGCACTGGAGAGCTGGTGGGGAGTGAACCTGGGGTCGGGAAGCCTGAGGAGGGCCACGGCCCTCTCCCTGCTGGCTACGGGACTCTCTCCGCTTGCTTCCCTGAGCTTCCATTCCCTCACGCTCCGGCGGGGATGCAGTCCTTGCCTGGCCTTCCTCAGAGGCGGGGTGAGTAATGTCGAAAGGCGCTAATGCTGGCAAAAATGCTAAACCAGCTGCAGAGCGCTTTGCAAACTGTGGAGGGCTGTGTGAAGCCAAGACCCGGTTCTTAGGTCAGCGTCCAAGGGGTCCGGATTCTAATTTTGCCCAGCTTTGGAGAACGGCCCGGGTAGGATCTCACCTGTGGCCCTGCGTGAGCTGGGGGGCAGGGGGGGCATCCTCGCTGCCCCCTCTGAGCAGCAGTGGACTGCTCCCCTCCTGCAGGCATGAGCGCCCTTCCTCGTGGCGTCAGTTGGCCTTTGGAAAGACCCGTAAAACTAGTGCGCTCAGCTGTGGCCTTTTCACTGAATAATTACTCAATTAAAGGTGTGTGTTTTATTGAACATCCCTGATACCTTTATTGGTATTATTAGAGTAGCTAGCATAATAAGGAAGAACAATTATTTAAATGCTCATTAAAAAAAAAAAAAGGAACAACCCCTCAGCGGAGGGAGACTCTCATCCGTTGCAGGAGGGTCCAGTTGCCGGTCGCTCCCCAAGCGTCACTGTAAGAAATGATGTTTCCTCACTGTGAACAGGTTTTCACTTCCCTGGAGCCTCTCATGCATGAGGCAGGCTGCATGAAAATTCCTGGTGGGTTTTATTACTGCCAGATTTAAACATGCACCGCCAGGTTCAAGGATGGATGCTACACACCGAAACCTACAAAGCCCCGCTCGTAACATCTGCGTCGTGGTGCTCGATGTACATTGTGTGTCCCCAGGCAGGATCTCACTGGGTACCCCCAGCCCTCTTTAAAGGCAGGTATCTTATTCCCATTCTACTGATGTGGAAATCGAGGCCCAGAGAGGTTGTGATTTGAATGACTTCACCGTGCTGGGAATGTCAAGGCAGAGGTAGGGCCAGCCAGGCCCTCGTAACCTAGAGATGGCAGGGAGGCTTTCCAGGTTGAGAAAATCATAAGGACTACCTTTAGAGCCAGTAGAGCAAAGAAGATCCAGTCTGGGTTTCTGCCAACTGAGAGTAAAGGCATCTGAGGAAGGAAGCAAGCAAGCAAGGACAGACACGGGCCCTGGGTTCTGAGCTGCCAAGCCTGATTTCGTGATCGAAGCGCAGCTGACATTTCTAGGTCTGTAGGCCGGGTTTGATGTTGCTGGTACGTCACTTCAAAATATTCTAGGCATCCACCTATCACGTGGCGCCTCAGCAGCCACGCGGGCCTCGTGGTGGGAGTGGATCCTCTGTGGGTCGCTGGCTAAGTGGTCTCCTCGTGGAGCTGCCAGCTTACCTCTGGGCAGGTGGCCCTGAGCTTGAGGAGCGGGTGACCTCCGGTCCTGGGATGGGGAGGAGGCCAACCCTCTCGCCAAGGGTTTTCCATCGCATTTAAAAATGAGCTGTCTGTGAATGGTGTGCTGCGAGTGTAAAATATTTAGTGAGTTTTTGAATAGAAAAATGTTCTGAGTGGCTCTTCAAAGACTTCTGACATTGTTCACTTGTTAAAAGTGAGCAGCCCTAGTGCTCAAGGCTACTTCTAGGCAAGAGAGAACCATGAAGTGGTAATATGGAAATGAACATTTTATTAAGGGGAAAAAAAAAAAAAAGCTGGGGGAGAGTGGAAAGAGAGTTGTCTAGGGAGGGTCTTTGAGGGCTGTGAGATTTAAAAAAAAGTCAGAAGCTGTCAGACCCTGGGAAGGCCGTCGCCTGCAGTGAATCTTGCCGTTGTGCGAGGGCAGTTTGGGAACCAAAGCAGTTCAGGGGTGTGGGAGAAGAAAGAGCTCACCCCGGCATGAGCAGTGGCTCTGAGATCCGATGTGATGGACATGTAGCTCTTCCCCACCTGAGGGTGAATTACGGACAGGAAACTTCCTCCCTTGGCTGCTCCAGAGTTTTAGAAGTGTCTTTTTTTTTTTTTTTTTCATTTTTTCCTTCTTCTTTTTTTTTTTAAACAAGAAGTGGAAACATCTGAGCTCTTTAGAACATGTAGCTACATGCTTCCCAGCAGCTGCCATTTTGAGTTAAAAAAATGTTTTAATCGGCCATTTTGGCTGAAGAGCAGTCTCTATTCCTGGCCTGCCTGGGAATTCTGCATTTTCTTCTGATACCCGCATTCCTCACCAGCAGTAGAACTTTCTAGAAAATACGTGGCCATCAGAACAAGAAACAGGAAATGCTCTGGAGTTGAAGCCCAAGGAGATGAAGATGATGAACAAAGAGATCGGGGAAAAGGGGGTGGGGTCCCACTTAAAAAATGAAGAACCAGAGCAGCTCTGTACCATAAATCGGTTAATGAGAGTTTCCGAAAGCCAAGGTGAAGGGTACAGAACCGCTCTTTAATTTGAAGATCTATGACCTTGTGGGATGTGGCACTTCATTTGTGTTATTAGCTCCTGTGTCAGAAAGGGGCATTTTATTTATCCTCTCGTTATTTATTACGCGTTTATTCTGCCTTGCTCTAGAAGAGGATTTGAGGGGAACTCTAAATATTGTGGTTTCTGGCCAGCTCTCTTGTGAGGCGGTCTGAGGCAGAGGGCCCTGTTCCCCCAAGTCCACAGTTATAACTAATCAGCTAGGACAGGAGACGGCGTTTTCTCTGCCCACCAAGGGCTGCGCCGGAAGGGAAGGCCCGGGGCCTTGGGAGGCCTCCCTGTCATTTCCCAGGCGGGGACAATTCCCCTCGGGGACTCCAACGGGGGGAGCTGAACTGCCCAGATGGATTGGGTACACCGGAGAAAGAAAACTGCCTCAGGAGTTCTCCTTGAGCTGCTGGCAAAAGCAGAGTGAAGCCGAACCTTACATTCTTTTCTCCTCTCTGTCCTTCCCCCGCCCACTGGTCTCCTTACCACCAAACACGCAGACTAGGAGCCGGGAGTGAACGCATCGCTATGGGGCACCACACTCCTAAAGCCTGTCTTGGTTTCCGGAGGAGGTGGGTGTTCTGACCCAGTTGGTTCTGGGGTCTGGGAGGATCTCCACCCTGCCTGCTGGACGGGCCGGTCCCTTCGTGTGACACCTCAGGCCCTGCGTGGGGCGGGGACGTCTCTGCCCTCTGAAGCTGTCCAGCCAAGCCTGTGGAGAATAGGGCATTGGGTCCTTCAGTCATTTGGTTTTTACAGCTAAGTGTGAAGCCCCCTGGAAACAGAACTTGCGTGCGGAAAACAAAACATAAATCTCTGTGCGGGATTTCGGAAGGTCTTTTGGGGAGAGGCTGAGATGGGGGGTCTTCTCCACTCTGCACCCTGCTGTATTCTCAGGTCACCTTCTGATTTGGGGTCTGGAAATTAATTTGCAGCTTTGGCTTCACCAGGGAGGCTGTGGCTACCATACTTCGTCAGCATTAAAACCTTCTAGGTACAGGAAAGTTTGAAAAAACAAAAGGGTTTTTTTCAAGATCTGGGCTGTGAGGTCTTGTTCCCGGTTCCCTCCCTGGCTCGCGAGCGAACCTCATGGCAGAAAGCAGGGCCTGCCCGCACCTGCCCCTTTATAGAAAGCATTAGGAGCGACTCAGACTGGGAAAGCAGCAGGCTGCCCCGGGAGGTTGAGGAGGGCGGCCACGAGACAGGTTCTGGATGAAACGTCCAGCCTCCATTTTCTGACTGCCTCAATGATGGACGAAGACTAACGTTTTTGGCTCAGTGCCACAAGTGTCCACTAAGATTTGCTCGCGATGTCACCAGAGCCAGTATGTAACAGAGCCACACTTGCCACCGTTCATCCGACCGCCCCGTCAGATTTGACATTCTCCCATTCAGTTAGCATTCCGGCAAAGGTCTTCATGCTCATCAGTGGCCCCCTCTCCCTCCAGGCCCAGGGGCCTGCGGAGGCCAGATTCCACGGGGTGGGTAGAGGTGTGTGTGAGGCCAGAGGGGGAATGGGGAGGGCAGTGGGCTTCCTAACATGCTAAATTCCTTCTGCTCCTATATGTTCATGTGTAAATTTGACGGTACTTTCAGCATGTATGCTGGTGTGTGAAACCCTAGCATTTCCTATAGCTCAAATCCCAAATGATACAGAGGTATCAGCCATTTCTCTTTAAAAAAATGTTTGCCAGGCAATTGAGTTTGACTTGTGTGTTTTAGAACCCCCTTGGATCAACTATTGCCTAATCACTGGTTCTGAAGCTGAGGGGGAGCCGTGAGCTGCAGTTTTGCCCCCCAGGGGACATTTGGCCAGGCCTGGAGAGATTTGAGATCCTGCTAACTGGGGGAGGGAGTGCTACTGGCTTGTACTGGGTAGAGGCCAGGGATGCTGCTGAACATTCTACAAAGCACAGGACCCCCACCCGCACCCCAGAATCCTCCTGGTCCAACGTCAATAGTGCCTTGGTTGACAAACCTTGGTCCATCATGGTTGCAGGTGTCCCGGCTGTTTTATCGTTGACATCAGGCATTCTCACAACACCGCCTCACTTGGCTACTGAGATAATGGGGGTAAGAGCAACTTTGATTTAGGGGAGCAAGCAGAGGTCTAGGAATTGGGGGTGCTTGCTGTGGTCGTGTGGCCGATCTGGGCTTTGCCGGGGCCACCTGTCCACAGAGCCAGCTTCTTCAGCTCTCCAGGCGGGTGGTGTCTTGGCCAGCCAGAGGGTCCGACACGTCGCCGGCCCCGGCCTGCTCCGAAGGCCCCCCCCCCCGCCCCCACACGGCCGCCTTCCCGAGCCGCGCGGATCCAGGACTCGCTTCATGCCCCCCTCCCCACCCCCCGCGCCTTCAGGTCAGTGGCCCTGCGGTGCGCGCGCCCCGTCTGCTTCTCACGCTCTCTCTGCCTTTATGTCCGTGTGTCTCCCCAGGTAAAGATGAGCCTTCCAGCTACATTTGCACAACATGCAAGCAGCCCTTCAACAGCGCGTGGTTCCTGCTGCAGCACGCGCAGAATACGCACGGCTTCCGCATCTACCTGGAGCCCGGGCCGGCCAGCAGCTCGCTCACGCCGCGGCTCACCATCCCGCCACCGCTCGGACCCGAGGCCGTGGCCCAGTCCCCGCTCATGAATTTCCTGGGCGACAGCAACCCCTTCAACCTGCTGCGCATGACGGGCCCCATCCTGCGGGACCACCCGGGCTTCGGCGAGGGCCGCCTGCCCGGCACGCCACCGCTCTTCAGCCCGCCGCCGCGCCACCACCTGGACCCGCACCGCCTCAGCGCCGAGGAGATGGGGCTCGTCGCCCAGCACCCCAGTGCCTTTGACCGAGTCATGCGCCTCAACCCCATGGCCATCGACTCGCCCGCCATGGACTTCTCGCGGCGGCTCCGCGAGCTGGCGGGCAACAGCTCCACGCCGCCGCCCGTGTCGCCGGGCCGCGGCAACCCTATGCACCGGCTCCTGAACCCCTTCCAGCCCAGCCCCAAGTCCCCGTTCCTGAGCACGCCGCCGCTGCCGCCCATGCCCCCCGGCGGCACGCCGCCGCCGCAGCCGCCCGCCAAGAGCAAGTCGTGCGAGTTCTGCGGCAAGACGTTCAAGTTCCAGAGCAATCTGATCGTGCACCGGCGCAGCCACACGGGCGAGAAGCCCTACAAGTGCCAGCTGTGCGACCACGCGTGCTCGCAGGCGAGCAAGCTCAAGCGCCACATGAAGACGCACATGCACAAGGCCGGCTCGCTGGCCGGCCGCTCCGACGACGGCCTCTCGGCCGCCAGCTCCCCGGAACCCGGCACCAGCGAGCTGGCCGGCGAGGGCCTCAAGGCGGCCGACGGCGACTTCCGCCACCACGAGAGCGACCCGTCGCTGGGCCACGAGCCCGAGGAGGAGGACGAGGAGGAGGAGGAGGAAGAGGAGGAGCTGCTGCTGGAGAATGAGAGCCGGCCCGAGTCGAGCTTCAGCATGGACTCGGAGCTGAGCCGCAACCGAGAGAACGGCGGCGGCGGCGGGGTGACCGGGGTGGCGGGCGCGGGCGGCGTGGGCGGCGCGGCCAAGGCGCTGGCCGACGAGAAGGCGCTGGTGCTGGGCAAGGTCATGGAGAACGTGGGGCTGGGCGCGCTGCCGCAGTACGGCGAGCTGCTGGCCGACAAGCCCAAGCGCGGCGCCTTCCTGAAGCGCGCGCCGGGCGGCGGCGACACGGGCGACGACGATGACGCGGGCGGCTGCGGGGACGCGGGCCCGGGCGGCGCGGTCAACGGGCGCGGCGGCGGCTTCGCGCCGGGCGCCGAGCCCTTCCCGGGCCTCTTCCCGCGCAAGCCGGCGCCGCTGCCCAGCCCCGGGCTCAACAGCGCCGCCAAGCGCATCAAGGTGGAGAAGGACCTGGAGCTGCCGCCCGCCGCGCTCATCCCGTCCGAGAACGTGTACTCGCAGTGGCTCGTGGGCTACGCGGCGTCGCGCCACTTCATGAAGGACCCCTTCCTGGGCTTCACGGACGCGCGCCAGTCGCCCTTCGCCACGTCGTCCGAGCACTCGTCCGAGAACGGCAGCCTGCGCTTCTCCACGCCGCCCGGGGACCTGCTGGACGGCGGCCTGTCGGGCCGCAGCGGCACGGCCAGCGGGGGCAGCACGCCGCACCTGGGCGGCCCGGGCCCCGGGCGGCCGAGCTCCAAGGAGGGCCGCCGCAGCGACACGTGCGAGTACTGCGGCAAGGTGTTCAAGAACTGCAGCAACCTGACGGTGCACCGGCGGAGCCACACCGGCGAGCGGCCTTACAAGTGCGAGCTGTGCAACTACGCGTGCGCGCAGAGCAGCAAGCTCACGCGCCACATGAAGACGCACGGGCAGATCGGCAAGGAGGTGTACCGCTGCGACATCTGCCAGATGCCCTTCAGCGTCTACAGCACCCTGGAGAAACACATGAAAAAGTGGCACGGCGAGCACTTGCTGACTAACGACGTCAAAATCGAGCAGGCCGAGAGGAGCTAAGCGCGTGGGCCCACGGCGCCCCCGCACCTGTACAGTGGACCCATTGCCAACCGAGAGAATGCTGACCTGACACTCGCCTCCGTGTCTGCGCCACTTCGTCCCCCTCCTTCCCCGCGCGGCTCCCCCCCCCCGCCCCCCGGGGTCCAGGGGAGGCGGCACTCCAACCTAACCTGTGTCTACGAAGTCCTATGGAAACCCGAGGGTTGATTGAGGCAGTAAAATATTGTGGAGCCTTTTAACTGTGCAATAATTTCTGTATTTATTGGGTTTTGTAATTTTTTTGGCATGTGCAGATACTTTTTATTATTATTCTTTCTGTTTAAATTCTTTTAAGAGATTTTGTTGGGTATCCATCCCTTCTTCGTTTTACTTTTTTTTTTGTTGTTGTTGTTGTTTTGTTTTTTTTTTTAACCCAGTAGTAGCCTGAGCAATGACTCCCAAGCGATATAGAAGGGAAGCTTATCTTTTAAATTATAATTTGGGGGGGAGGGCGCTGCTTTTTTGAGATTTAAGCTAAGCATGTGTAATTTCTTGTCAAGAAGCCAACACTTAAATGACTTTTAAAGTTGTTTACTTTTTTTTAATTCCTTCTTTTTTTTCTTTGGTCCTGAAATAAAAAGTGGCATGCTGTTTTTTTTGGGGGGGGAGGGGTGGATGTACAGCGGATAACAATCTTTAAAGTTGTAGCACTTTGTTTCAGAATTGGAATTGAGATGTAGCACTGATGATGTCCTGAGTAACAGAGGCCTTTCCTGTGTTTTCAACCTTTACATTATCTAAGGAAGCATTTTAGTGGTGAGGGGGAGTCAGAAGTCCCTCCTCCCCTGGAAAACTCAGCACTGCCAGAGAAATAGGGGTTTTTGAGAGCTGCCGGGGAGGTGGCCCGAGAGCATCCTACACTTGTGCATCACCAGCAGATACGGTCCTTTTCTGGGAGTGTCCGTGTGCCCTGGGATGCCATCTTTGCTCTTTGCTGTAGATGAGGCTAAATAAAATGGGCTGAGGGTACTTTTTTTGGGTAGCTGGCGGTGACTTGCGGTGACACAGAAAAGAAGGAACCAGCCATGTTCTTTCAGGCTTCTTCTGGCTTGACGGCTTCTCTCTCTCTCTCTCTCTTTTCATCAGCCCCCACCACAGAGATCCCAAGTCGCATGTTGCTACCAGTGATAATTAATTGACCATGTCTCAAGCAGACAAGTGCCCCGATGAGGTGAACTGAGAGAAGGTAGTGTTCTCTCATTCAGTGCACACTGATGACATTGTACGGACAGGCGGGCGAATCTTGCGAATTTCTGTTCCCTTTTACTGGATAAGCAGGGAAAGAGTTCCATCCGAAGGTGCCCAGCGCTACTTCCCAATTTTTTTTTTTTCTATCCCATTAGGTTGGAAGGTACTAAACATTGGACTGTTAAGATTAGACATTTGAATTCTGTTGACCCGCACTTTAAAGCTTTTGTTTGCATTTAAATTAAATGGCTTCTAAACAAGAAATTGCAGCATATTCTTCTCTTTGGCCCAGAGGTGGGTTAACCTGTAAAGGACGGCTGAGATTGAGTGTCAGTGTTGCTAAGCTTGGCATTCACAATACTGGCACTATAAAGAACAAAATAAAATAATTTATTGGACGGTTTTTCTACTGCCATTCAATTTGATGTGAGTGCCTTGGAAACTGATCTTCCTATTTGAGTCTCTTGAGACAAATGCAAAACTTTTTTTTTTTTTTGAAATGAAAAGACTTTTTAAAAGAGTAAAACAAGAGAAGTACATTCTTTAGACACAAACAAAGCCACATTTACTTTTAATTAAATTTTAAAAAATCCTGGTTGAAGATAGAGGACATGAAAATGCCATAAGACCCAATCAAATGAAGAGATAAGCCCAGCACAACCGTGGACATCCTTAGCTGAATTATCCTCAACCCCCTTTGTTTGTGGGACAACGCTGCTTAGATTTGGCGTGGAGGTGATTTACTGCTGAATTAAAACTCAAGTGACACAAGTTACACGTTGATATCGTTGAATGAAAAACAAAACACAAACAATTCAGGAACAACGGCTAATTTTTTTCTAAAGTTAAATTTAGTGCACTCTGTCTTAAAAATACGTTTACAGTATTGGATACATACAAGGGTAAAAAAAAATTGTGTGTATGTGTGTTGGAGCGATCATTTTTTTTCCAAGTTTGCTTACTAGGTTATAAAAAAAATGCCACAGTTGGCTGCGTGTATATTGTTTTCTTTTTGGTGACGGGGTTTTAGTATATATTATATATATTAAAATTTCTTGATTATTGTACAAGTGGACCAGTATTTGTAATAATCGAGAATGCCTGGGCATTTTACAAAACAAGAAAAAAAAAAACCCTTTTCTTTTCCTTGAAAATGTTGCAGTAAAATTTAAATGGTGGGTCTATAAATTTGTTCTTGTCACAGTAACTGTAAAGTCGGAGTTTTAGTAAATTCTTTTCTGCCTTGGGTGTTGCATTTTTATTTCAAAAAAAAAAATGTATAGAAACTTGTATTTGGGGATTAAAAGGGGATTGCTACACCATGTAGAAAAAGTATGTAGAAAAAAAAGTGCTTAATATTGTTATTGCTTTGCAGAAAAAAAAAAATCACATTTCTGACCTTTACTTATTTTTCTCTCCCTGCCCCCTCTGGAATGGATATATTGGTTGGTTCATATGATGTAGGCACTTGCTGTATTTTTACTGGAGCTTGTAATTTTTTAACTGTAAGCTTGTCCTTTTAAAGGGATTTAATGTACCTTTTTGTTAGTGAATTTGGAAATAAAAAGAAAAAAAAAAACAAAAACAAACAGGCTGCCATAATATATTTTTTTAATTTGGCAGGATAAAATATTGCAAAAAAAAATTTGTATGTTTAGTCCTATTGTACAGGAGAAAAAGGGTTGTTTGACAACCTTTGAGGAAAAGAAACAAAAGGAAGTCGTTAAATGCTTTGGTTCACAAATCATTTTAGTTGTATATATTTTTGTCAGAATTGGCCTATACAAAGGACTGTTCGAGTAGGGCTTCTCTCGGAATGCCCCGAACCTTGCATCAAGGCTCCCTGGTGTGGCCACAGCAGACCGGATGGGAAAATCTTTATTCGTGTTGAGTGGAGAAATCAGTTTTTGTAAAGATGTCGGTATATTTCACAGAGTCCTCTGGTTCTCTAAGAGGCCATCTGTAAGATGTCAGGTGTTAGAGGAGAGAGCGAGAGAGCATCTTCCTTCTCTACTGTCACCACTGTGGCGGGTCACCACATCTCCCGCCCTTAGGAGCAGAAAGGAATGCAAACGGAGCTTTTCTTTAGTCCTTGAGAAAACATGAAACAGACAAACAAAAGATGTAGTAAAAGGAGCTGGTGAATCAGCTAGGCACAGGTGACGTGAGCTGCTGTTGAGACCAGCGCAAACTGGATGTCAGGAAGGAGTCCCCGTCACAACCAGGGCCTTTCATTCCATGGAGAGTGTTGGCCTGTTGTCTTTGTTACCTGCTCTGCTGCTTCTCTCGCTGAAACCTACATTCCGTCAGTTTCCGAGTGCCGAGGGCCTGGGATGAATTCGGTGCCTTTCCATATCTCTCTCTCCTTCCTCTGTGTTTACTCTCCATCCCCCAGCCTCTGTCAGTCTTTTATTTTGTCCTTTTCATTTTGACCCAATTTCATTTCTTTCTCCCTCTCTGTAGCCCCCCCCGTTCTTTCTTTCTTTTTTCCTTTCTTTCTTTCTTTCTTTTTTTTTTTTTTGTAAAGCCAAGTAGCTTTAAGAAAATGAAGTGGTGGTTTTTTGGATGAGGGAATAAAACATTAAAAAAAAAATACCTATATCAGGAAGCCATTTTTTATTTCAGGAACTGTAAAACCATTATTTCAGGTTATGAAAGTATAACCAAGCATCTTTTGGGGCAATTCTTTACCAAATGCAGAAGTCTTTCTTCTGGGAGCTTTTCTGTTCAGTACACCCTTCCCTCCTTGCCACTGACCTTTGCAAAGGGAGCAGAAAGGGGGAGGGGGGGAGAGAAAGCTGAGATGTCAGTTTCCTAGCTGCCCGACCTGAAGACCCAGGGGCTGCCCTTTCCTTCGGATGCCCTGTTAAGGTACTTGAGCCTCCAAGGTGATCCTCTTGTAGTTGCGAAAGCTAGCCAGCCCTCACCAGCTTCCACAAAGTCACCAGAATGCCAGGACTAAGCCATCCTAAAGCACAAAGATTGTGTCTCTGTCGACTGCAGAGAAAAGAGCATTATGCTTCTCTTTCATGTTTAAAAAGCCAACACTGGAGCAGATGACCCAGTGAGAGAGGCCCCGAGCCTGGGTGACCCAGCCGACCTCAGGCTGGTTTCCATACTGCCACAACTTTGTTCAAAGTTGCCCCAAATTGGAACCTGCCACTTGCCATTAGAGGGTCTTTCATGGGGAGGGGAGGAGGCTGAACCACTCTAAGCAAAATGTGAAAAGTAAGGAAGTCAGCCTTTCATCCCGGTCCGTAGCGAAGGTTTTGTTGCGCACAGGCAAACCCGTGATTTTGGTGCTTTTTGTAACTCAACCCTGCAAAGCAAAGTTACATTGATTTAAGTTGTTTGCATTTGTACTGGCAAGGCGAAATATTTTTATTACCTTTTCTATTACTTATTGTATGAGCTTTTGTTGTTTACTTGGAGGTTCTGTCTTTTACTACAAGTTTGGAACTATTTATTATTGCTTGGTATTTGTGCTCTGTTTAAGAAACGGGCACTTTTTTTTTTTTATTATGGATAAAATGTTGAGATGACAGGAGGTCATTTCAATATGGCTTAGTAAAATATTTATTGTTCCTTTTATTCTCTGTACAAGATTTTGGGCCTCTTTTTTCCCTTAATGTCACAATGTTGAGTTCAGCATGTGTCTGCCATTTCATTTGTACGCTTGTTCAAAACCAAGTTTGTTCTGGTTTCAAGTTATAAAAATAAATTGGACATTTAACTTGATCTCTAAACCTTGTCCTTTTCTGTGTCTTTCAAGG